TAGCTCAAATTAGTTAGGTTTTATATATTATAATCTTGTAATAATTTATATATGCCTACCTATACTAAAGGAGATCCAAAATTTTTTTTGTTAGCTTAATAGATAATTATCAAGAAACTTCACTCAATGTTTAAAAAAATTTGAAATGTTTTATAGAATAGGTGGGTAATATAAGAAATAAGCTTTGCTAATAATTAATAATCATTAATTTTTTAATATCAGAGTTGTGAAGTTGGTGAAATTTGCCCACCAATTCTAAAAACATCCAAAATTTGGTTTGTTTATTAATAAATTGTTTTTTTTAAAAAATTTTTAGATAACTACCTAACCAAATTAAATAAATTTTTTTATTTCAATTCTACAAATGTGTTAAATTTAAAATAAAAAATTTTTATTAAATTTGAACAGGTAGTATAAGGAATACTTTACTTAAAACTTAAAAAAATTCTGGTTTATTAATAAATATTTTTTTAAAACTTTAAGCAAAGATTTTTGACAACCCATTTAACAAAATCCAATATAATTTTTTTATTTCAATTCTACAAATATGTAGGATTGGAATAATAAAATTTTCATCGTATTTAGTTAGGTGGTAACTGTTACATGTATGTAAATCAATTTTGATTGGTCGTGCATACGTAAGTTCATTGAATTTCGTATGCTTATCATCACGTGACCATAAACTGGGCACAGATTATAATTTCGCGTCAGTACGTATTATGGTTTGTCGAGATTTGGGATGTCGGGATTTTGTGGTAAAACCGATTTGACTATATATCGATTTATATCGTTTTTTGGCTTTTTTATTTATTTGATTACATATCGATTTGTATTTATTTTGACTAAAATCGATTACTATCTCTTTTGCTCTATCGATTAGCAGGGGTGATTAACATCTATAAATCCTCATGGTTAGTAATCGACCTATTTTCTGATATAGGGCACAAAAATATACAAAAGTTTAAAAAAATGAAAACACAGCCAAATTCTAATATAATGGGTAATACAGTACATCACATTTTAAGTCTTTTAATAGGCGCTAGTGGCACTTTACAAAAAGTGATATGTAGCATAAATTTATGAAATCAAAATAAAATTCTACATAACTTAAATTCCCAAAACAATAAAACAATAATTTTATTTGGGTCCGAATAACAATTGTAAAGATGCTTATAAAAATGTCAATTTAATTACATCAATGATTATTTTGTAAAATACATTCAGAAGTATAAATACAATTTTTAATATAAATAACAATATTCCTTTAAGGAATGTTTTTTTTAATAAAAATGTTCAATTGTTGGATCTCATAATTTGACACTTGACATTTCTAATGTAGATTTTCCAGTCTAAAATTAGTAAACATAACATTCAAGACAAGTCACAGGTAATTAACCAGCCAAAAAAACATTAATGTTTCAAAGTGTTCTGCTACATTCGCATGTCTTAATCCATGTCTTTCTGTTGGGTATGGTTGTAAAACATGCGGCTTATTAAATTTTACAAGAGATGAAACTAATAATTCGGAATTCTTAAAATGTACATTTTCGTCAATTTGTCCATGAGCAATGAGAAGACGATTCTCCCTAAAGTCAAGAGACAATTAAAAGCAAGATTATCAAAAATCAGATAATTCACGAAATATAAATAATGCTCTGGTTATAACTGCTTTGCATAAATTATAGGAGACTAACCCGTCAGGAAATTTTTCTGCCCATGTTAATACATTCCCTTTGTGATAGCCTTCAACATTTTCTCCTGGAAGTCCCATATAACGTTCTGTGTAGGCAGTGTCGTAAAGTTCCCATTGCGTTACTGGCGCCCCCGCAATGGCCAATTTGAAAATCTGTGGATGCTGTGCGAGTGCCATTAAACTTAAATACCCACCATAACTCCAACCAGTGATAGCAACTCTTTCCAAATCAATACCCATATTCATTGAAGATAAATATTTTAATCCAGCAATTTGATCATCTAATTCAACAGTGCCCATACGACCCTTAAGATAAGATTCAAATGCTAAACCCCGATCTGAGGACCCACGGCCATCAATCAAAACAACAGAAAAACCAAGATGAACTGCAAGAAATAACCGAAGAAGTCGTGGGTATTTATAATCATTGGTTACCATCTGCAGTTTAATATTGAAACTTAAGTTACTGATCGTACATTACAAAACAAATATATATATAAACGAGATACAAATCATCACACCTGCGATTTAGGTCCACCGTATATGCTTAGAAGAGTGGGATATTTCTTCCCTTGAATATAGTTTGTCGGCCGGTATAAACATCCATAAATTGTTACTCCATCGCTATTTTTAAAATTAAAAAATTCACCTGTAGGAATTCGTTCATTTTGTCGTTTATCTTCATTACTCCTTACTTCCTCTTCTTCATTTCCGCCTTTCACAAAGATTCCTAATGTTTCACTTACTTTGGGAAATATTTGCCCTTCATCCCATTCGAAATATCGAACCCCGCATTTTGGTTTTTCCTTTATATTGGAAAACCAATCTAGATATCTCTCACATTTTTCATCCATCACCACAAAATGGCTGTAACCTAGTTCTGAGAGCCGTATCACTGAATGAGGATCTGCAGTTTCGGCATAACTAGCTACATATATATGAGCTTCCAGCGGCGTATCCTTTTTGGCAGTAAAATAGACAAGTTCTCTTTTGGTATCGACATATATCGGTCTATCTACGATAGGCCAATCTCCAGCAGTAATAGGTCTAACGTGATAGTGCGAAGATTCAGCAGAAGGCTTGGTCACGAGATAAAGATGACGAAATCCAGTTCTCTCAGAAGTGATGATAAGCTTAGTGGGAGGTAACTGAGATCGTTTTGTGCAAGGCGAAGATGTATTCGTATCTGTATTCTTTGTTGAAATAATCTCATCATTAAAAAAATAACAAATATCTGTTATCTGTTATATATGCATATAGAAGCCGATTTAGTAGAATATCAATAAATCCATTTATCGAAATAACCAATCAAAAAGGTTAATATAATGTTATAATAATTTGATTAAATAAAGTAAATTTACCTACATTAATCCAAATGTCGCTTGTTTCTTCAAAGACAACCTCTATGCGTGACGCACAAAAATCTAAATCACCACTATTTTTCTGATATTCTGATGGGCTCATAAAGTTGGCGATTGGGATTTTAACAATCGCTGTTCTTCGTTGTGGACGATCAAGGAGTTGAACCCAAACACTATAAAAAACGTAAATATGAGATAATACGAATTAAAAAATTAAAATCTAGGTAATAAAAAAAAAAAAAAAAAGGGTATTACCTTTTACCATTTGGACACCAGCCAAACCGAACAATGTATTCTTTCCACGGAAAGAGTTTGTCCAATGCTGCAGGACCCCAAAGCCTTTTGTGAACAGGACTGGTTGTTACTTCCTTTTATAAATCTGTTGTGTGAATTACTTAACTAGTCTTTAAGAAAAAAAAAATACAATAAATAATATATGTAAATAAATTTACCTCATCTTCGTTGTAACGTGGAATAAACTCGACGATCTGTAAATCACTAGCGGCATTCGGCGTACCTATATAAACGAAAAAAACATACACATATTTAGAGTTAATAGATAGTTATTACAGAAATTAGTACAGAATTAGCATAACAAATAATTAACTCACCGGCTTTTGGATAGCGATACTCTTCTGCTTCTCCTTGTTGACCTGGTCGGGGTATTAAAACCAAATCTACCATAGATTCTGAAATCTGTAAATATAATATTCGTTCGACATGTTCCTCTATTGATGTTGATACTGAAGAGGGTGCCCAATAATAGCCTGTAAAACGGTGAAATTCTTCCTTTGATGGATGTATGCATTAATGATTACAGTGAACTTTACAGCTGTCATTGCCACATAATCTGAAAATTGTAAATGGTTTTTTCTTACCTGCATTACAAATTCAGCGACACCGCAACTTAAGGCCGAAGATCCATCAGGATCATGCTCATTGCAAAAAGTCAGTTGGGTTTCCAATCCATTTAAAGTTGTAACCCAAATATCTCTATCACGGATAAAAGCGACAAGGTCGCAATTACGACCACCCAACTTTGGATCTAGTCGTGGTGGTAGTGTGTTGTTTAATGAAGGGCAAGGTGATGAAGGAGAGGAGCTGTTAGTTGAAGGAGAAGAAAGTGGTGATATGCGATTATTTTGTGGAGACTGGGCGAGTGAAAAATTCATCAAGCTTCCAGAACATGTTACAGAGTTTTGTGAATAAGGTATTATTGGACGTGGATAAAATTCAGCGTTCTACAAAATAATATCAATAAAATCAATATTAGTAATATGGATCAAATAATATCTGATTTATGTAATATATCTTCTTTATAATTAACTCACCTTGCTAACATGTCCCAAGTAAATCCCACTCCCGTAATTGAATAATATCTGACCACTTCGAGAGTCAAATTGATAGCTAGCGATTCCCTGTAAAGCTAACCTCCTTCGCTCTTTTACAAACATTTCTTCCCGAGATAACGTCTCTGAAAAATGTTTTTCTTTTAGACATGATTCTGGAAGTAATGGTTTCCATTCCACAGTAGGTATTTTTGGTAATGCACTAGATTGTTGCGATTTAAATTGCGTTTTATTATTCACAGACGACAAATCCATGAAAGAAAAATTGTCCAAACTCGATGGTTTGATAGATTCAGAGTGAGCAGATGTATCATGTGATAACGATGAACAAAAAGTGAAAGAAAATTCTATAAAAATGAATATTTAATCAGTCATGACTGCATATTATTAAAAGAAATAATCATTATTGAATCAGATTAAAGAGAAAGTCGTGAAACTAGCGATTATTAACGAAAGTAGATTTTATAATCATCTAATCAGGGCAATTAACCAACAAATAAAAGCTAAGCCATTCTTGGTATAAGAGCCTACCTTTCGCATAAAATTTGTTATTAGTAAAGCTGAATGTAGAGTCACGAAATTTATTAGATAGTTCGGTCTTTTCTTTTTTACATTTTAAAGGTGGTAAGTCAACCATAAATAAAGTAGAGGTTTTCATTCGCGAAGGATCGGTTGCTAGAAAATAAGCGCGGTTATTTCTCTCATCAAAGCAGAAATCTTTAATATTCGCGATGTTGGAAGGGTTAACAGAACTACGATAAGCTCTAATTTCCCTTCGTATTTGTTCCCAAGAACAGTTCATACTGCTAGATCTAGGTATATTACTAGTCAACGATATAAACTTTGTTAATAAAACTCCGAAAATTGGCAATAAATACTTGAAAAGAATATGTATATTACGAAGGAAGAATGAAGGATCAATACTTGTGGAATATCTCGGAAATTTCACTTTATGTACCAAAAACCAGGCCATCTTTTTGATAAATAAACAACTATTATTTAGTCGTAATTGAGTATAAGGAGGGTTTTAAATGCGTGGGAAAATTAATAAGTCACCCCACATCAAGAATGCGAGAGATCACTGTGCAACACTTATGTGACGCAGATGCATGGTTAAAAATCCTCTGACATTCTCAATTAATTAAACGAACTTACCCACACTTACGATGGCACTTATGTCAGATCTTTATCAGCGTCTTTTCTTACCTCATTACATTGTCAATTTCTTTTATATTTTACCCTTTTTTGTTGTTCGATATGCTTCTTTTCGTTATCTAGATTCGTCTTTAAAGCCATCATCTGAAAAATATATATACGCTAGTATTTTATTCTTCATTATATTAAAATTTCGATCTTCCAGCAGTGCCGAAGGGTTCTTATCAATAACGTTCTTTGCATTAAAATTGTTAAATGTAATTATGTTTTATTTGTTCGATAAAACATGGTGGTCAATCCTATATGCTATAGTATGGACTGGTATGTACATTTTTTATTTTGGCGCACTTTGCTCTGTTACTGATCAAAATGGTTTAAAATATAATTTAGTGCTATTCGCTGCTTTGCCTCAACCAACGTACCAAGGCCGTTCAGCAATAATACAATTAACAACTGAAGATTTGCGCGATATCCAACATAACAATTATCAGGTCTCTAAAATAACCGAAAAAACTGACAATGATCAATATTGGGTAATTTTCTTTTACGTTCTATGGAGTGATGCATGCAGAAATTTTGAGCCCACCGTGGCAAAAACTTCTTTAATGTAGGTTGATTTTTTGGCTATTATTGAAAATAATCAAATCATTAACCTTTAATCATTATAAGATATACGACTCCAGACGTTCGTTTTGGCAAAGTCGACTTGGATCAATATCCTATGCTAGCTGAAGAATACGATATTTCGTTATCTCCGGCTAGTTTGGATCTTCCTACGTTGATTTTGCTCAAAAATGGTAAAGAAATTTCGAGATTGCCACAGAGGATGATAAATGAAGATTCGGATAGAATAAAGAGTAAAACTCTTCGAGATGTAAAAGACACATGGGATCGCTTGGGATGGGACAGGAGCATGGTAATAATTATCCTATCAAGATTTTTATATTTGAAGTGAAGATGCTGATTAATTTCACACTAATCTTAGAAATCAATAATTACTGAATTTAAACTTGAAAGTTTACACAAGACAACTTGAACTAAGTATCAGATATGTTTCAAATCACCATATTTATCGATTTTTATACAAGTAGAAGTTTGGATTTGCAACTAATGTCCTTGCTACATTATTTTCAATGAATAGACTTTTACTGGATTAGACTCTTCAGAATCTAAAATGCACATTCAGTTATGTATAATACTGAGAATTTTGAATTGTATAGATTAAACCAACTGTAATTGTGCTCCATATTTCATAAAGTCAATACGAACGTATAATTATAGCTGCTCAACCATTAAACGTAGAAGGCATCACATCATGCATCTAGCTTGTTCTCATAACCCTGATTTGTCCCATTTGACCTTGCTGTGTTTCCGATATCATGATTGTGTTCTAACTTTGTTGAAATAATCTCCCATAATCCTGATGTACCATTCACAGCGGCACGAACTAAAAATGGGCATTTACATCGTTGAGATCGACGATTACGCGTTGGTTTATTACCACTTTCCTTTTTTTTACTTGAAGTTCCATTCCGCGAACAAACTATTTCTCTCCATCGTACGGCACCAGCTTTGTTCCTTTTTAATTTATGGAGTCTCATCGTAAAACCTTCTCGTATAGCATATTCCTGGACCGCTATTACAAAATCGGTATGGCTTGTAAACGTAGAGCCATGACTTAAGTAACCTTGCTTGTTGTTCGTGCTATTATCGCTTGTTCCCTCAGGTTGTGTCGTAATAGCT